AATAATGAAGTATTTATGATCTAAAGAGTATCAAAATTTACAAAAGAAAAGCTTAATATTTATTTATTTACCTTATTAAACATTTCTTTCAACACAAGTTACTTCGCTTTTTGTGCTAATACTTTCTCTTTAATTCCGTAAACAGACATAATCTCTTGTTTAGTTACACTATTGAAGTCCTGTAACTGCTATTCCGAGAATTCCGACTAACCTGTCAATCGAAATTTTCTCTTTTTCAATAACTTCTCTGTCACTTTCTTAACTACTGGTAGTGGTTATTTCTGAATCGAGAACCATACTACAGATTTCGCCATCCATTAATTGATTGATGATTGAGAAGAATTGTCATCACAATGAAAAACTTCTTTTATATAATCTTCATTTATTAACACTTCTCCACATTTCTTTACAAAATCCGTTAATTGGAAAATTTCACCTTTGTTTTGCGATATCCGAAAACCTTTAAAATTAGTGGCTATCATCATCAAATTTAGCTATCCTTCACTATACATATTTGGCTATGCATCATGAGCTTGGCGACTATCGACAAGTTGTTCCGTTAAATTTTATCTTGCTTCTATCCGTACTGAGACAATTCAGCCCGAATTGTATTAGTTTAGTTATTTATTATATTTATGTCTATTTCTTGCCTAAGACTTATCAGAGTTCTGAATAAATAAATTACCTTATTGAGAGCTGGCACTAGATATCTTACTGCCTGATGCAGTCTCTGTGGGTCCTAAATTGACTCGATGCGACCACATGAGCTCTGGTGCTGGTTCTGGGTTTATGTGAATATAAAATCAGTTATTCTTAATTCAAACAGCCCTGAATGTAATCTTTGGGTCTATGAGTATCATCAACAGAAACTATTTTTAGCGGTTCTAGGAAAAAAGCACACAGGAATAATGCTCATAGGTATAAATGCTCACAGGAAAAAAGCCCACACAGAAGTATGCTCACATGGAAATAAGCCCACTGATAAATAATTCACATAGAAATATCCTTACATTAATGAATCAATAATTAATTTATTTGAACGTGGTACACCTACTTGAATTTTCTAAAGAAAAATTATTTAAATTACCAAAACATCTTTGGTATATATTTCAAAAACTTAATAACTTATGTTTAGATTCAGTTTCTATATAAGATTAACAAATGGGCCATTTTGAATTAAGAAAAGGAGAGGAGAAAGGAAATAAAAATGAAACAGAATTATATACAGTGAAAAATTATTACAATTTTAATTGTTAAAAAAATAATAAATATAAGTTACACACTTTATAATATAAACATTTAGAAGAATAATGAATGAGAATTTAGTGTGTCTGTGTGAGTGATTACGGCAAAGCCTCGAGGGCTATCTGCCTAAGTGGAAGGATGCCTTCGTGCAGGACTTTCTAAGGAAAACTGGCTCGTATACAAATTACACATGGGGAAAACCATGAAAACTCCCATGCAGCCAGCCCGTTCATGGGATTTGAACCTCGGATCGAACTACCAGTGTTCAGTGACTTTACTTGCTCTGCCGCTGGTGGGCTGAATGAGAATTTAGAATGATTATTTTATTTAAATTACGAAAAATATTTAATTTTATCATTGATTTCATCATAGTTTCTTACATGACTCACGATTACCAAATGTAAGTTTTCATGTTTTCTTTTTTTTTACTTCAGTACATCCTGTATTTACATTAGCTAATAACAAATGTTGAGAAGCTAAATCTTTTTTCAGCCCGTAAATAAAATCCACAAACTGGGATGGCTAATTATCTTATTCTATAAGTATATTAAATAATGAATTTAGTGCGTTATGAGAGCCTTTGCAACAATTTGTGGTTTTAGATTTCTCGAAGGCTGCTTCATTATGTTTAACTGAGAGGTATCACCAAAGTGCCTAAAAATGTTAATTTTATTTCTAAAATTTTAAATTTCTGCAGAAATTTTACAACTTTTTTTTGCTGCAAATTTGAATAACTATATTTAAACATCAATTTCTATTGATACACATCAAAAGTATGCAAAAATAGAGTGAAGAAAGAAAAATTTATTATTGGCAGTTATGGGGAAAAAAATGTCGTACTGGGGTAGTGGTATCAAATATTACAGTACATGCACAATTTTACTACAGTTTTCATGCTTTTATTTACAGCCCTTTCGCCCTATAAAAGGTTAATGTGAGCATTTGCTCATGTGAACATATTTCATGTGAGCACGTTTCTAAGAGAGCATTTTTCTGTGTGGGCATATTTCCTTGTGAGCTTTTATACCTGTAAGCATTATTCTGTGAACATATTTCCTTGGGCATTTTTCCAGTCACCATTTTTAGCATATGGAAAGAAAGTTTTGGTAAATTTTCCCTCATCAACATTTTTAACGCATTTAACTTAAATTTGTAATCATCGCCCGGCGTAATGTCAACATAAAAGGTTACCATACTCCTTTATTATTAATTACTAACATTAAAAAATTGTTTAGACATCGCTACACGAGTCATTACTCAGTTCATCATGTTTTGATACACATGCAGTGATGAAAGGAAAGTAAAATGAATAATGATTCGCCATGTTGGCATCAGATCAACGATGAATCTATGTGGAATGTTTGGGTTTGAGATGTACACCAAGCACATACATAGCAACGGAGCCAAATTACTAATCGTACAAATTTATGCTAAAATAATTGTTTCTTCAATAACAAGGTACTTTACTTAGTGTTGAAGTGAAATTAAGAATCGGAACTTTCCAGATGTTTTATTATGCACGGAGGGGGGAATCGAATGCACATGGGTAAAGCCTACGAGAAAATGTTGGTGGTTTTGAGGTCCGGATTTTAAATCATTTCGGATAAAGGACATCTGGATTTCGGGCTTTGTACTGTACCTCGTTACTAAAGAAACAATCATTTTAGCATAAATTCGTATGACAATAATTTGCTTTTGTAGCTGAGTATCAGCTTGGCATACATCTCAAATTGAAACATTCTACATAGATACATCGTTGATTTTACACCTACTAATATTTTATATCCCTGACGCCAACCTGGCGAATCATTATTTATGATATTTTGCTTTCATCAACGCATGTTTATAAACACATGACAACTCAAGTAGCGAAGCCTAAAGATTTTTTGGTACTTTTCTGTTTCGCCGGTGCAAATCTCGCCAAGCAGACTTTATTGGCGACAACACACACACACATAAAAAGTGTTAACAAATGTTAGTTCTAAGAAGTTTTTATTTTGAAGGTATGAACATTTTAATATGGCTTAAAATTTTGTAAAAAGACATTAATTTAAGAATTTGCTACGCTTTCACGGTACAACAAAAATCTAATTCTCTCAGTAATTATCTACATTAATTTCAAGTTATATCTTAATTTGGAATACAAGTTTAAATGCAAGAATTATTTCAATTTGTACGAATAGCTTACTCCGAAATTATGTAAAACCACAGTGCTTTAACTTCGCTAGTGCATTCTCAATTAGAATTGATGAATTTAACCCTTGACTTTGCCTTTTTCTATATTTTCGCCTTCGGGTGAAGTGGTTGTGCGATTACATCCTAAGTTGACTTAATTGCCGCGAATGGCCTTAGGGTATAAATTTAAACTATCTGGGTCAAAATTCTATGTAATTGTATACCAAGTATTGAAAGAAAACAATCAATCGATAAGAAATGGCTGCGAATTGTTTTGAAAATGAGGCGTAAAAGATTACCAGCGAGGATATTTCGTTTGGTATCGGTTGTATCATTTTTGGCGACTTCATCGCTTGCGCCAGCAAAATGGAAAAGTACCGATTTTTTTTATGTTAGTAATTGAATAGCAAAGAGTAACCTTTTATGCTGACATTATGCTTGGCAATGATTACAGATTCAAGTTTAATGCACTAAGAAATGTTGAGAGGGAAAATTTTAAAATTTCTTTCCAAATGCTACAAATAAATTTTGTTAATGATACTATTCATAGGCCAAAAGATTATATTTAGTGCTATTTAAATTAAGAATAACTGACTTGTTATTCACATAAACCCAGAACCAGTGCCAAAGCTCATATAACCCAGAGAGACTGTATCAGGCAGTACGATTTCTAGTACCGGCTCTCAATAAGCCTTAAGTATATGTGGAAATTTATTTATTCAAGACTCAGATAAGCCTTAAGCATGTGCAAGGAATAGGCGAAAGTATAATAAATAACTAAACTAATAGAATTTAGGCTTAATTGTCTCAGTGCGCGATAGAAGTAAGCTAAAATTCAGCAGAACAACTTGTCTTTAGTCGCCAATCTCATGATATATAGCCAAGTATGTATAGTAAACAATAGCTACATTTTATGATGATAGCCCCGAATCTGAAGATTTTTGAATATTGCAAACCAAAGATGAAATTTTCTAATTAATGGATTTTGTAAAGAAATGTGGAGAAGTGGTAATATAAATGAAGATGATATAAAAGAAGTTTTTATTGTAATAACAATGCTCCTCGATCATCAATCAATTAATGGATGGTGAAATCTTTAGTATGGTTCTAGATCTAGAAAATACTGCTACCAATAGTGAAGAAAGTTACAGAGAGGTTACTGTATGTTAAAAAATTTCGATTAACAAGTCAGTCAGAATTCTAGACACAGCAATTACAGGACTTCAACAATGGAACTTTGTAACTAAACAAGAAATTATGTCTGTCAATAGAATTAAAGAGAAAGTATTAGCACAAAAAAAAAAAAAAAAAAAAAGAAAGAAAGAACCTTATACAACTTTGAAAGAAATGTTTAATAAAGTAAACAAATAAAGTAAATAAGTTTAATAAAGAAAACTTTTTTTCCTAAATTTTGATACCCTTTAGATCATAACTGCTTCATTATTTCATAAATCCCAATTTCATATTTTTAATTTTATTACTTCTACATGCCATCTTATTAGATTTAAACTGATGATCTAATAACTTCCAAATTTAGACTTAAAAAAAACTTCTTAAAATATTTTATTCCAAATAAATACCTTAAATTGCAAATTTTCAGATAATTTATTACTTGCATCTTCATTTCCAGACATAGGACATTTAATCATTAGTTTGGAATTACTAGAACGAAGATATCTTTTATGCTTGATTTTACCCATAATTTAAATATACAGTAGTAGCTAATGTTAGACTCCTGCAATAAAAAAAGAAAAAAATTAGTCATATTTCCAAGAATCTAATACAAATAAAAATGTCATGATAAACCAATATATAAAAGGGAAAAACTAATCTAGCTGAGACACAATGGTAAGAATTTTCATTTTTATAATCAGTGCTTAATTTAGTATCAAAGCCCTTTGGAATGACATTAGGAAAAGTAAAAATAACTAATTAACTTATTAAAATTAAATAAAATGCAAAGAGATAATTAAAAATTCATTAATTAACAGTAAATACATGGTGTTTCATATTAAATGGGACAAAAAGAATAACATAGTACAAATTCTGTAAATGATTTATTAAGCTGAAACAAATTAATTCTGAAACTACAATTACAGAAGTTTTTTCTAGAAAAAGTGAAAAACCTTCCAGTTATAAAGTTGCCACTACAGGCACTGTTAATCAAAAGGCACCATTCATGCAGAAAGCACACTGTGGTTTGAAATTGGAGAAACCGTACAGTGTTTTGGAATACACCTAAACATCATTTATGATTGTTCAAAGACATTTCCGCATAAAATTTGGCAGAGAACCACCGCATTGTCACAGCAGATGAAGCAGTTTCAGAACATTGGCTGCTTGTATAAGAAAACCGCCCAGGATGAACAGCAGCCAAAATTAAAGTGGTTGAAATAAGTCCTAAAACATTTTTATAAAGTCCCACAAAATCAATGCATCATACAAGTTCTGAACTCAATGCGCCTCATGTAAGGATTTGTTGTGTGTTATGGAAACATCTACAATTCCAATCATATCCCTTTTAAATGGTGCAGGCATTAAAAGCCTTCTGAGTAAGGCTTTCTGTGAGAATTTGCAAGATACACTAGAAGCAGATAGTTTTGCAAACAGGCTTGCATTTACTGATAAAGCCACTTCTCGCCTTTCTAGCAAAAAATAATTGTCATAACTTACAATTTGGATGCATGAAAAACCCACATGGTATAATACATGAGCAGGATTCTCCAAAGATGAACGCTTTCTGCACCATTTCCAGCAGTTGTGCTTTTTATCCTGTTTTTTTCATGATAAAATCAATTAGCATGTGCATTTACAAAGATATCTTAAGGTAGTCTGTAGTTAGGGGTACCCCTTGGATTATTGCCAAGAAGTTGTTTCATGGTAACCCGAGTATTTTATGGTGTATGTTTCGGAAGCTCTATCATGATGTGATTGCTTGTGTGATCCTGCTCATTTTGATTGGTGGAAGAATATTTCTTAGGGCTTATTCACAGTTCAGAAAATTTTTCATGTAATGAATTTAATATGGAGAATTAAAGTGAAACTTTTATGTCAACAAAAGAGTTAAAAGCACGCTATTCCATTATGATAAGGAAAACAACTGTGTACATTATAAGAAATATTGTTTTAACAGTGAATTAAAAGCATGATTTCAAATAATTTAGTTAAATTTTGACTATTTCGATTTTACATAAATTAACATCATTCCCATTTGAAATTTTGTATTTAATCATAATAATTATTATTTGTAAAATTTTTCAGGGAGTTGTAACATTTTGGACTTCCTGAAAATGTGTGCTCTTTAAGTGGACATTTGTCTTGTAGGCTTTTGTCATGTAGTTTTCTAACTGGCTGCTGGCTATTCAAGAAGGAACTATTTGTGTTACTTTTCTTTACTTTACTTTTACCTCAGCTGAGTCTTATGCAAGATCACCAATAATGAAAATCTGTATTCCAGGAAACCATTCTCAAATTTCACAATGGCATTTGTTGGTTGATCTTTACAATATGGTAACTGATAGTTTAGCGACATTTTGGAGGCGATAAAGGTTACTACCTGGGACTTTGGTAATAATGTGAGCAGTACTCAGTTCCGATTACGCATTATTTTGCGTGAGGGAAATGAGAGATCATGGGATACGTCATGTGATATTAATGGACGAATTACGATTCTTTAATCGGAAAAGGGGGGAAATCGGGAAAAAAATGTGGAAATTTTGTATTTAGCTTTATTCTGTGTTGTGTGAAACAGTGTTGTTTAATTTTTGGATCCCATGGCCCTAACTAAAGTGAATTCGAAATGGGTATTTAGGCATTGTGATAAAGAGAAGTTTGCTTTTTATTTAGCGGAGGAAGTATGGAGGAAAAATCCGCAGAAAAAATTTTTCAATAATTTTATTGAATGAATTAGAAAAGTGTGTCCGCCACGTAATCAAGATTCTGAAGAAGATTAGGTAAGTTAGTACTTTTAATTATTTAAGGATATTATTTTCATGCATTGTTCTAAATGTAAGGTGGAAAGGAATTTGGTATTATTGGGAAAATTGTTATTAGCAATGATTTGGTTTAAAGTAATTAGGATTGTAAGGTAATTTTTATGAATTTAATGTATGTGCTCATTTATATTTTAAGTAGTGTTTTTGAATTTAATTATATTTTAATGAAATGATAGTTATTTTGTGAATTTTATGTTTGTAGGAATTTGGTATACGTTCAAGTTGAAATAAACGTGCATGGAAATAATTTAAATATTTGATACTAAGTATTTGTAATGCTTGCGGTATGAATTCGTTGGTGACGTGTATAATGTAATAGATGATTTAGAGGTAAAAAATTTTTGGATATTTTATTTATTTTATGTGGAAATGTCATATTTGTAAAGGGTAAATACTTTTCGCGATCAGGTAATTTCATTATAGTTCTTTTTACCGGGTTTAAAGATTGAGAAAATTGTCATGTATTTTCGTGTGTGAAATTTTTCTAATTTATGAGAAAAAAGCAGTGTACATGGATATAGTGAAGAGTGTGCGCAATGCCATTTTGTGCAATTCTGGGATGTTTTTTTAAGTAAAAATAAGTCGGCGTGTACATGGTTTATGTGTATGTGTTATTTTGAAAAACGCGTAAGGAGTATGGTATTGTGCACTTTTTCCCAATTTTGCAGTGAATATTTGTCATGATTAAGCAGTTTTGCTTGATAAAATTTTTAGCATAAGTGTAATTCGGCTACTAGATTGTTGGAAGAAGTGTTCAGTAGATAAAAAGAAAAGAAACATGTCTTTATTTCATGAAGACAAAATGGCGGCGGGGAAAAAAATAGAGGGTTGCTGTAGGAGAGTTGGTTGCCAAATTTTCGATAAAAATCGCCAAGTTACCATAATGTAAAGATCAACCCATTTGTTTATACCCAATAAGAAAAAATTAACTATCCATTTCAATGCTGATATGCAGATATCATAATACAGACCATTAAATGTTCTTTGCAATGCACTGTAAGTAAAAAATTTAGTCAAATGCCCTTGTGAACACTAATCAATCAATCATCTATAAATAAAGGATGCAATCACTAGATATCTGCAAACTGGTGCAATTTTATCCAGTCTAGTTATAATTTTACAAATGCCAGTTACAGAAATATCGCCAAGTTTAAATACACTAGTAACGAATGTGATACGCACTTATGCAAATAAAGGAACATTGAAAATGGATAGTTTACTCACCTGATGTTCTTGAAACCTTATGTTTACAGAATTTCTTTACTGATGTGAAACCTGAGCAGTGAGCTCAGATCAACTATAATCCAGTACCTGATGGCTCAGCATTGGCTGAAGCCCAATTTAAAATCTTACGGTAGTTCTAAAATTCTAGATATAAAACTAGTTAAGCATCTGCTAAACTTAATAGAGCACACTATTTGTGAGTGAAAATTGGTACTACCAATCCAGTGAAATTGTAGACTGCTCTAACTAATGGATTGAAATGCTATACGTATAATCCCTGTGAAAGGTGTGCCTATGAGCTATTAAACAGGTGTGTGGAAATCAGAGCTATCATTATGCAAAATAAACATAAGAAAACGGCGCGGCACAAATATTTTCCGCTGCCGGTCTTGCCATGGAACAAATGGTGCAGCTTCACCAAGACCTGGAAGACAGGCAAAGATGCATGTCGGGGCACCGAAATCTTTGCTTAAGGCCTCTAAAAGTCTTAATCTGGCTTTGATGGTAATAAATAAATGGATTTTAAGCTTTGAATATAAACTACACATTATAAAATAATCTTCAAATTTTATATTTAATGCGAAA